TATATATATATATATATATATATCATATTTATATATAGTTGGGATACAAATATATAATGCAACACACTCTCATACCTTGTACATATATATATACAAGGTATGAGCTTCTACTCCAAATCCTCATTAATTGTCCATACACATCATGTTCCACGAGATTTGTGCTCATGCCTTATTGCCCATATTGACTCTCCTAAGGGGATTCTAAAAGTACGTGAGAAAAGTCCAAAAGAAAGAGATCAAAATGTATCAACAATCTGGGATACAAATCTTCAAGCCTCCAACCTATAAAGGTCGGGACTCCTTTTTTTGAAATAACCGAGCTTGACCCAATAAGAGATCATACACGAGGGTGTAATGACAACCCATGGTTAAAACCCCTGAGTTCATCAACTTATAAAGGTTAAAGGCCAAATAGTGTTCATCCAAGCCGAACCCAACTAATTGACATGAACTCACAGTTGTTGCACTGCAACAAATGCTGTACAACAACTACGTATCACAAAGAGAATAAAAATTCTTAGATTAAGGTTTTGACACTATGTCGCCCATGACTAGTGTTGCAACACTAGGCAACTAGTGCTGCTGCTCTAGCAGTAGAGTCAAGGCACCAACCCAAGTAGGCTCAAAGCCTTAGCATCGTAAGGTTGACAACAACTCCTTTATTCTCGATTGGTGAGGCCATGACTGAATGCTTCAATGTCATGACCCTAGGTAAAAAAATGACTCAATTTTAGAAGGGCTAAGAAGTGGAGATCAATAGAGTGTCTCTTAGACATTAAGTGTGGGCTTGATGTCATGGTGCAGCTAAGCAGCTCCTAGTTGTCAGACACAAATTTGAGAAATGACTGAATCATGGCATTATGAACATAATGTTGTGATGTTATCAAGTGATAATGAGTATGGTACCCAGGTGCCACACCCAAAAATAGGTATAGCAAGCGACACCAACTCTGGCACTAGAACTAAAATTGAGTAAGATGATAGTGAAAACTTCTAATGCACTCATTTTGCTCAAAAAATAATGAGGGGGATGATATAAAAACTCTTAATCTGGGGCTTTCTCTAACAACAATCTAAGCTTAGTCCTCTAACACAAAACCTAATGGAAAGAAAAATGTAAAGGAAGGAAGGTAATCTCACCTACGTGATGATTGAGTGTAGTCCCTTAGGTTAAATGCTCCAAAGCTTGTTTCAAAGACTCAAAAAGTTCTAAGGAGCTCCAAGTGCTCTAGTGCTCCTCTAACCATGATTGACACCACTTTCGATAATGAATGATCTATAAAATATAGGAATTAAGAAAGTTAAGTGTGAGAGGAAGCTCACATACTTCAAACACTCTCATGTCACTCTGAGGGAGCCGAAAGAGAAAGAAGATTCAAAAACTTCAACTTTAAGGAGGGAAAACTCACTAAGAGGAAGGTGGCTTTCAAATCACTCAAATGGCTGAAAGCGGCTTTAAATAGTCATATCTTCAACTCAGGGGTAGCCCAAGGCTACCCCTTTCAAGTGAAAAAAAATAGGTCATGGCATTGTGACGTTAAATCATGACACTGCAAAGCCACTGACATCAAAAGTGCCTTATTAGCATGGTGTGTAACATTCTCACCACAACGTGCCTTATAAGAATTTGTCCTTTTTTCTCAGTACCAATTATTGGCATTGTAGTGTTGTTGATGTGGTGACTATCATGTCAGCTGATAGGATATAGATAGTGCCACGATCAATTGAAATATGTGTAATTAGATAGAATGATGCATAGACTCCTGTACTTGAGCCTAGACACCATTGATGTGATAGGTGCCATGTCAACTGACATGATAAAGTTACATATGTAAGTGTAGCACCACATCTTTGGCATGTTTGTGTCATGGCACGAATGACATGACTCGAACACTTGTCCAATTAGCCATCGCCCTTGGGACCAAAAGGATTCACTTTTAGGCGCCATGTGTCACATGGTGGTGCAGCACTTAACATGAGAGCTGTGGCTTTTAATGACATGGTGGATGCAACATCAGCCAATAATTACCAGAAAATAGCGCCTATGCACCAATCTTGAGCGTCACGGTGCTATTGATTAAACATAAGAGGTCAATCAACGGTAAAGCCTAGCTCCTCAACACTGAGAGTGAGTGTTTTAACGCCTGTGCTGGGCACTACGTCGCTATATACAGGCATAGCAGTGCAAAATTAAATCTCGAGAATCCCAAACCCCCGAGTTGCCTCATGTTGTGGTGCTAGGCACTGACGCCACGATGCAAGGCTAAAACATGGTACTTTGGCACACATTTTTTTTAAAAAGTTTAAAAACGATCTAAGATTGTTTATACCAATGTATAAACATTCAATTGAAGCAGAACCGAATAAGCACATTTTCTCCATTTATTCTAAACAAGATCCATACATAATTTGCTCAAACAACAAAATATGATACTTATATGGGGAAATCAACAATTAGGGAACATAACAACATAAATAAAGATGACTATTCACCTCTCATGTCATGATCATCATCCTCCATGTTGTTGTTCATCATCTTACTTGATCATGCCTCCAAATTTAACTGCTAGGAAGGAAGTAGGGCTACTCCTCGCCACCATTTAAGCGATCAGTTATGCCACTCGACAAGTTTGGTATTCTCCCGTTTGAACTGGCTTGATTGATCTTCGAGGAAGTCCACTATCTGACTGATTGTAGTGACATCATTCTGCAACTTTTGAATATGCTCGGAGATGGAATGGGGATGGGGAGAAGCCACATGAGGGACAAAGTGGGCAACTTCCTCTAAATTCCACTGAGGTTGGATACCATCCATAGAAGCAGAGATCTTGTGGGAAATTATTTTCTCTCCCCTTCTTAAGACCTCGACACTCATGCAATGACAGATGTCAGATCCATCGCCAACAAATTTTATCCCCTTTGCATGCTGACGAGATGTCATATTCTTCATAAAAAAATTGGAGGTCAGATAAGCTGGAAGAAGAAGAGAGGGAATTTTGGATGGTGAACCGTTTAGCTCCCACACAATTTTTATAAATAATTTGGCATGCGACGCCAAGGGCACAGAGCCGTTATGGGTCCATCGCTCTAAAATTTCATAGTTTTTTTTTGCACCAGTTACAGGCGTGTATTATTAATAAAATAATTGGGTGCCATGACGGCAGGGTTCAACTTCGTTGTGTCTATTTATGATTTGATCAACGCCTCTAAAATTCACTTAACTGCTTCCCAAAGCGGGCCCAACAATCCATTAAAATGGCTTGGAGTCATGACTCTAGGTAACGACGTTGTGGCATGGGATGGGTTTATTAAAAATCACTCTCAAGTGCACTCATGTGCATACAAGGATGTGGCGATAAAGCTTTGGTGCTGCCCAAGAGTTAGCTCTACGATGTCGGATCCTAAACCTATCGAATTTTACACTTTGTACCCCTTGAAGCAAAGAACTGAATTACTGAGTGTGCTAACATAATTATGGCATAAACAACTAAAAATTACACCAAGAACAAAATAAATAACTTCATTCCCAAGCAAGACGATATAAATGTCAAAAAAACTTGCATGTTAGCTATTGTTAACCTAAATATCTTACGCCGTTAAGAAAATCATTATCAATAAGAGTCAAAAATAGCATCTTGCAATTGAATCTAAAAGTATTTCAATCATAGTCAAAGCATCAAGTTGACTTATGTTTGCAAAACAAATTGTGAGAGCATGTCTGAATCATCGAGAAGATTTCAATCATAGCTTATTTGCATCACAATTGGACTTCATTAGTTCGATATGCATTGAATGATTTGAAGATTATGATATATATATATATATACACACATATACATACATATATACATATGCATATGCATATTGTATGCACCAAAACTGACAACACAAATATCAAAGAAATCAAACGACTAAAGACGATGGACAGACAATCGAAACGTCAAGCTAAAGGAGCATAACAGAAATAGTCATTCAACGACTGAACAATCGATCGTGATGTCGGCGGATTCAATCGACGAATCACGCTTACGGTCCCAGCTATCCAAGCTCCTTTTAAGGACGTCCAGTCACGAATAGCCAACTAACCAGCTTTATCTTGGCAGGAGCAATTGTCACACGACTGGTTGACCCGATCGATCAAATTCAAATACGACAATCCGCTGACAGCTACTGTATTGCACTTAAATGACAACAGGAATCTAATATTAATTAGCATATTAATTGCATTTGGGGCGGTTTTCATAACTATTCCCTCTTAAATGACAACAGAAATGTGAGATTATAATATGATATTAAAATATTAATTGCTTAGAAATAACCTCTTAGATATGAATGTTTATAAGGGTAATTAAGAATATAACTGTTATAATTTGAGAGCAATAATCTTTGGAGGAACTATAATGAGTATGGTTAACCATAGGAGCTGTATTTTGTGGTTATGAAAACTATAAAGAGCTAACCAAATTATATGTAGATGCTGTAGCAACTGTAGTTGACTGCATAAATCATAGCTGTAGGAGGTTAAAATGGTCATATTAGGGCTATCAAAATTGTACTTGTTGATGGTCCTCTAACAACTGGTGGTCTCTATATTCTCTGATATTTAATGGTGGCCTTTGGTGTCAACGACGAACTCCAATAGCCGGTCGTGATATCGGGTGACACACAAAAACTGATGAGACTTTAAGAGTTAAAATTTTATGGTCAATTTATTTTTTCTCCTCCCCCCATGAGTGAAGAATGAGAATTTCTTTATAATTTTCTAGAAGAACATTTTGATAAATTTAGCAAACCTCACAAAATACTTAATTGAACGGTTCACATTGATTTTCTTAATCACACGCAATTTTATAATATTCAAACGCCTAAACGACATCAAAATGAACTGATCTTAAACATTTTGGATTTCTCTTGTAGAGCCCAAATTTTATTATTATCTTCCTTTTAATTGATGCACCAAAACCTTTCACTATACTTCAAGTGTTTGATCTAGACTCATTTGGACCTGAATTGAATCGCATTCAACGCCATTAGTTGAATCTTGTTGAGATAAGCTTGACTATAAATTTATTAAAATCAAACTCTAATCACCTAAAATTAGGCTTTTGAATTTTTCTAAGTCTAAATACATGAATCAGATTCATGGCCGATGAAAATAATTTCTTGATGTCCATCAATTATAGACTCAATGACCTCCATCCTCTTCATTATTCTTTCACATTGACATTTATTTTTCTCATGCATGCACAATGATTTGTGAGCTTTCTTTTGTTAATTATTATTGTACATATATTTTTAATGAAAATAAATCATTAATGCTGTGCATGTAAATATTAAATTTTAGGTCTTAGATATGTAAATGTATGAAAATCATTGAATATTTATTAATACTAAAGAAAATTCTCTATGCTGCTATTCCATGAACAGATGAAAATTAGTCAGCAATATATAAATAGAAACATTACAGAGTTGGCCAAAGTGTGCAGATAAGCAACAAGGTTACACTTTTAATACCAACAGAAAATATAAACAATTAAACACAAATCCAAACATATAACTGGATCCATAAGCATGCTCTTCCCACTTGGTTTCCTGAACCATGCAACGCAGACAGTTTGGATTTTAACAATATTTACTGAAATGTTGTAATTTTGAAGGAAAAAAAAAATAAAAAAATAAATAAAAATGCTACCTTGTCTGCTTCAATGGCTTCTGTGCAGAGCGCTGGATCCTTCTTCAGCTCGGTTCTTTCTGTTGATTTCAGAATACATTTCTTCAATCATAGGTTTCCAGAGCCTAACTCTTGCGTTTATAAACCAGTTTGAGACCTGGTAACTCAGAGAACAAAGGATGGTGTTAATTGAAATTAATGAGATGAGAAGATGAGAGAAAAACTTATTAATCTCATAGAAAACTATAAGTTGCAACACTATGGTGTTAAGCAGCTTGGATCTTGTAGGCCGCGTTTGATAGCGCCATTCGTTCGATAGGATTTAACGTATATCCGGTGGTTCGGTGAATCCAAATTGCTCACTGTTCCATCACTTTTTTTGGCGTAAATTTAAATTTACTAAATTAGAACACATCAAACAGATTTAAGTGGATTTAACATTAACTGAACCAAACACTATTTTGGATTTACAGCACTTGGATTTGATCAATTTGGATTTATTGGATTTATTAAATCCTATTTAACATAAATCCTATCTGCAACCAAACACCCCCTTGATCTATGAAACACTAGCGAAAAACATAAAGGTCCGTGTTGTGCGGGTTCTATCGCCTCACTTTCAATTTTTACGAGGAAGGAAGAAGAAGAGGGAGCTCCATCCCTACACCTCCAAATTTCTTTTGTTCCATCACTTTTTTTATTGTAAACCCGAGTTTACCATATCCGATTTTTAGGCTGATTTAAGGAATTTAGCTTCAGAAAAAAATTAAATCCTGAAATAAGTTTCCTAACACATCAAACAGATTTAAGTGGATTTAACATTAACTGATCTAAACACTATTATGGATTTATAGCATCTGGTATCTTATAAATCCGAATTTATCAGATTTACTAAACCCTATTTAACGTAAATGCTATGTTTGGTCGAACACGTGGTCGAACACCCCCTTAATATGTGAAACCCAAGTGAAAAGCATAAAGGTCCGTGTTGTGCGAGTTTCATCCCCGCACCTCCAATTTTTACGAAAAGGAAGAAGAAGAGCATGTAAATTCAAAGGAGGAACCAATTTTTTTTTTTTTTAATTAAGGGCGGGCAAAACCTCAAATTTAAGCAAGTTAGATAAGTATAAAGTAAATTTAAACTTCAACTAAGAACAAGATAAATCTGCAAATGACATTCATCAATAAAAAAATAGTACTCTTTGAATCTCAGTCCAGAAGTATTCTGATTCTCACATCTAAAAATTTCAATTTCAGCTGACTTCATGTAAGCTCAACTCTCAAATATGCAAAATACCCCTATTATTCTTCATTATTATGAAATTGGAACAAAAAAAAAAATTGTTTATATTTTTGGAATGTTAACTATCGAAGCACAAATCTAGTGCATATGAGATTCAATATTAGATCACTATCATCAACTTTGAAAAGAGCTTTGCCACCAACAAATATGATGGTTTAGGTGCTAAAATGTAAATACATAAGAATTGTGGGGTATGCATGTAAATGCCCCAATTCCTATGTATTAACATATTTTAGCACAAACTTTACTACTTATATTTATATCATCCAAATCTTTCATATCAAATAAAAAACACCAACATTTTATCTTCTAAAGAGTGGAATACACCTTTCCATGCATAGATTAGGTGGGGGCATGTATGTAAAAATTATAGCGGTTAGATATGTAAATGCATGGGAATTCAGGGGTATGTACGTAAATATTCCAAAAAACTGATTACCTGACTCCTAGTCAACCCACTTTTAAGCGCCAACAATTGCTTCTCATTGTCTTTTGGGTACCTTAAATCATTCATAAATATCATAAATTAAACAAAAAAATTACAAAGAAAACCTTATCATAAATTTTGAAAATTGCTCTGAAATTAAATATTTAAAGCAACTCACGGATGCAAAAAGTTCTGAAACATCCATGCACGAAGAACAGAGACAGATTTTTCTGGCAAACCTCTCTGTGGCCTCCATGAGGGCTGATCACTCCTCTTCAGCTGCTGAAGAGCCCATTGTCTCTGGATGAAAGAAGACTCAAAGCTCCTCTCTTCCTCCTCCATGAATTCAAAGCTCGGTTCTTGACCAAAAGAAGCAATCTGACCTGTAATTTTCTTTCTGATAGTCCTATAAAATGTGGATAAGGTTGTGATGGCAAACTTTGCAGGAAGATGGCAGCCTGAAGCTGTTGCAGAATGGAATGCTGAAACAGCATTCTGAATCTGATCTACAAACTGACTGAATCTCTGGTCAACCTGTGAGATTAAGAAGAAAGAGTTTCTGTATGACAAAATTTGGAGAAAATTTTAAATTATAATTTGATAATGTGGTTGAAAGCAGCTGATTATATTGAGTTGTCTTTTGGTGTATCGGTTGAAAGTTTATCAGATAATCTATAAAATTACTGTGCTTGTATGAGAGCGTCTCGGGTTTAGGGGACCTACTGGAAAATTCTACCAACAGGAAAAAACTGTAAGACCATTAGGGAAAAGCGAACAATATGGGTGGAGTTTAAGTTTTTACAATGTAACTATTTGGTTGTTTAAAATTTGAGAACCGTGTAAAAATAGTCTCATGACTCTTTACAAGTGGTCAATTTAGTTCCATCATCTAAAAAATTTTCAATCTAGTCCCCATGCCTTTTTTAACATGACGGACCAAAATAATCTCCATGAAAGACTACTTTAGCCCCAATGTAACAAGTTTGCAACTAATCTGGCACTTATATAAAGTTTAAGACTAAAATTGCTCAATGTAAAAAATCATAGGACCATTTTGGCACTTTACCATATAAAATTCCCATGTGATAGAATCTCATCACTAAGTTTACCGTTAAGGAAAAAGAACAACTAATAGGCTATGAAAAGTAAAATAGAGAGAAGTTCAACCAAGAGCATTAAAGACAATAAAAAATGCAACAAATATGGATAAAAAAAATTGATGATAATCATTATAAAATAAAACCAAAACCTCATACCATCTGTAGCATATTTATTAGCTCATATTTTCGCGTACTATTTGGCTCCTGTGACTGTAAATCTATATGTTGTTCGCGTTCATTTTCTCCTAAACAAAATGGCAACCGATTAGAGCCCATTCCTGTAAATCCATTCACTATAGAACAGCTAGAAGAAGACCCCTTCGCCTCAGTCACAGTATCTGCGAATGAATCATCAACCTCTTCCACATCTTCAGTCACATAACTGGCAAGTTCTGAAAGTATTTCTTCAATAAAAAATAGATATCTCGATCCTAATAATGTGCTAGAAAAGTGAACGGGCATATGCACAGGTCCACAGCACAATGAGAGCTTCTCGTTGTTCGAAAATGAGTTGCGGTGATCTCGTGGAAGATTATGCATCTTATTAACATCAATGAAACCGCCACCTCGCGGCATAACGCTAGTTGTGCCAGAATAGCTTACTTCAGAGGACTGTTCAGCACTGTTTGGCAAGCTCATGACAGAAGGCTGAGAGGAGCCCAGACTCAGCGAAAGCTCGTTTCCGTGCGAATGATCAAAGCTCAGATTAGATCTGTTGGAAATCCAACCTTGTTCTAAGCTTCCTACGAGATAAGAAGGGTGAACTGTGCTGGATGTTTGAGTTGAAGCCAACGGATGCCTCGAAAAATCATCATAGCCCAATTTGGGATTCGGCGAAGTGCTATGAATTTCACACAAACTGGTGGTCATTGAAAGAAGATTAGCGAGCGAAGCGGAAGACAAAGAAGTTCCAATGAGATTATCTCTTAAGTTGGTGTTTCCGATTGAGGCGTTGAATGGAGGATTTGTAATATGAGGTATGTTTGAGGCATACAGATTACTGTTTGGGTCTTCTTCGTGGTACGTAAGATATATCGGATCGGTTTGTATATCTGAATGAAACATAGAACCTGAAAACATATGCGAGCTAAATCCATCCATGGCGGCCATGTAACTGTGATCTGCTGCTGATGAATTGGTGTTGAAGAAATCATTCTCCATCATGAAAGAATTGAAAGATAATAGTTGTATTATTCTAACTTCTGGAAATGCTCAACTCAGGAGATATGATGACCCTGCAAATTACACAAAAGTAATGCTCTAAAATCCATAGCGTAGTTTTTTGTAAAAGTTGAGATGACATATCACTCCACATTGTTTTAACATCAATCCACATTACAATGATAGTCAAATGAAGACTAGAACACGTTAAAGATCACAAACATCAGACATTAATTTACATGAATCAGTGGGATTAACCTATGTACATTAACATATAAAATCAAATATTTTATAAGCTTCAAAAAAGGGATGCACAAATAATTTCTCTCCATACGAAGTCGAAAAAAAGCATACTGCTCTCTATGTTGATGACAGAAAATAAAACTACATGCTTTTGTACCACTAAGAATAAGAGGTTGTTATTGCTGCTATCACCATCTTCCTTTCTATGTTATGGGAGCTTCTTCTTTTGCTGCAATCAAAACTACAGGAAAGAAGAAATGAGCTTGAAAAAAAAATCTATCATACAATCCCACAAAATATTGAAATAACAACAATAACAAGCCATTATCCCACTAGGTGGTGTTAAGGATGTGGAGCCCTGTGCACTTCTTCCTTAGGAAAATCATTAAAGTGTTAATAATGTGATTAATTAACTTCATAATTAAAGCTTCCCGCTTCTTCCCTGTGTTTCCTGCCTCCTGTTTTTGGTCTCACACGAAACCACGTCTCGTATATTCACCTTCCTTGCCGCCTTTTGCTTATGGTAGTTAGCTGTTTTGCTTTATATGGGTTTTTGCTGCTACTTACAAAAAGGAAAAGGTGCCAAGCCCATATACTTCCTCAAGCCAACCTGCTCTCCCTCCTTCATCCTTCGGCTGTGAAGCTTAAGAGAAAAGAAAGGCTTGTTTTCTGTTTTCTCTCCTTGAATATTCTTCACGTGGCTCTCAGTTGAGAGAGAGAAGAAGAGAGAGAGAGAGGAAGAGAGAGTGTGTGCTTTCTTGTAACCGTCGAGGTGATCGACGGGTGTAATTTCTCGAAGTAATAAAATCCTCTGCAGCTCCATGAACGTAGGCAATTCGCCGAACCACGTAAAATCTGTGTGTTTCCACTGTTTTTCTGTTTGCGAATTTTTCTCGATCTGATTTTTCGCTTTATTGCCGTTTTCTCACAATAGGTGGGATCGGCTACATGAATCCTTTAATCTATTGTGTCCCATTGAGTGTCATATTTTCATTTAATAATAAATTAAGATCATTTTTTAATACATTATGCCCTAGACCATTTAGGTCCACATCTACTCTCTTAACATAAGTCAAATCAAAAACATCTACTCAACTGACTGGATCATCCAATTATCGACGTTTAATATAACTAAATCATCAAAGATGACTCTCTCTAATCTTTTCTGCCACTGGAGCTACACCAGCCCTTTCACAGGTACAATCGCATCACATTTTGTCTCTTAAGTGTCAAGCCACCCATCCCCCTAAGCATTCTCATCTCAGCAACACTTAGTTTTATGCTTCTCTTTTAACGGCCAACATTCTATGCCATAAATCATTGAAGGGCCTTTCAAAATCAATAATCAATCTTATAATATCTCTAAAATATTAATCAAAGATTTGTATGTGCAGAGGAAGTTCAACGATATCTTATGAAGATTTTATCTAAAAAAAAATTTTCGCTACACATGATAAACAATATATATACATACATGATTGTCATTGTCAGAAAACCATTTTGCAAGGCATCTCCATACCATTTGTGAAGATTAATTTATAATTTACAAAGCCTCAACTGTTCAACATATATCTCTTTCATGTCGTATTAATGAGAGCCCCATTAATCTTGATAATTTATAGAACCACTGCTTTCAGCAAAGTTCTTATGATCATTTAAATATCAGTTTTATCATTAACATGTCATGCCCAAACAATAATAGCTTAATTAATCTTTTTCTACTCCTTTGACATATTAACATTGATTAGTGCCGCATTTGTAAAATTTAATCATTTGCACAAACCCATTAAATTTTTTGTATAATTAGCAAGGTTTTATTTCAAGCCACAAAAGGCTTTTATTCTTTTGCACAGATGACTTTATTTTTCAAATTCAACAAAGCTTTTGAGTTAAATCATGTAAATGTTTTCCTCTAGGGAACCATAGATGAAAGCTAATTTCGGTCTTTTGTTATAGTAGTTGACTTATCTTTGTAGAATATAAATGTATTGAAGAAAATATTTCAATTATAACAATTATTTTTCCATCAATATCCACAATTTTATAGTTAAATGCATATTTATCATATTAAACCATGAAATATTAATTTAATTTTGGGTCAAATTTAATTTTAACAATTTAATCAATATAGGCAAAATCTTCTGAATACGACAAATATTCATTCTTTCCTATATAGGCTATTTAATAGAGCCTAAAATTAAATATAATGGACAGTCGATCAAATATGATGTCATGTTTACTATCCTAGGAGAGTTGCATCATATGGTCTCATGCACATTTCACATTCATTGAGAGCTCTATTCATTCAATCAACTAATTTCGGCCTCGAGTTCCCAGATCATTCCCTCCACACAAATACTACAAGCAATTATTTATTTTTATAATCATACTCTAAACATTTTTTTATCACAAGCACTTAATTTTGTCTTTTGTGGCAATCTCCACAAAGTTTTTTTCAGTTCATTAACTTGAAAACAATTCAAATATATTTTTTATAAAATAAACCCATAAGCATTTGCAACTATCATTTATAAAGGTAACATATCATGATGATTCTAATAGGGAATGGTCCCCTTTGTGGGTGTTATGATAACTTTGAAATTTATAACGATCGACTACGAAGCGAATAAATATAGCACGAGAAAATTAACACCAAAAACACACAGATTTACGTGGTTCGGCAAATTGCCTACATCCACGGAGTTGCAGAGGATTTTACTAATTTAGGAATTTACACCGTTTGATCTCAACTACAATTAAAGGATCTCTCACTTGCTCTTTCTCTTTTCACCGAGATTCACCCAAGTGCAAGAACTCCAAAGAAGAAGAAATACGTACAAGAAAAAACCTTTTTTTTTCTTCTGCTCCAAGCCAAACAAGAAGAATCAAGAATAAGCACCTTCTTCTTCACTATCTTCTTCTTCTTCTTCACTATCTTCTTCTTTTTCTTCACTATCTTCTTCTTTTCCTTCTTCCTTCTTCTACTCCCGTAAGCCTCAAGAAGAATCCAAAGGAGAAATCTTCTTCCTGCGATGCCTACAGTAGATCGCAAAACCAGAGAATGGAGAAAGGAGGAATCGCGCGGGAATTTCTCTCTCGGCGGGCTTCTTTCGCACGCAGGGACGGGAGAAATCGCACGGACGGGGGAGGGATAGCGAACGGGAGAAAGAGAGATAGATATATCGCGAATAGGAGCGGTTCGCGAAAAATAGGAGCGAGAGAGACGGGAGGGAAGAAACGTGCAGTTATTCCCCTTTTTTTTTTTTTTTTTTTCTTATAACGGGCTCCACATAACAGTGGGTTCACTCCAACCTTTTGGTTTTCAATTATCTCATAATCTTTAAAAAAAAAACCAACCCTCTTTGTTTGCTTAACATCAAGGTGGTCTTAATTAGGTCTTTAAATTTAAAATTTGGCCTTTGATGTTATTAATCTTTAGACATTTCTCTCTCATTGAATTTGCCTTTGTGATAAGGAAACTCATACTATTCCTCTCTAAGCGGTTTTTATTTAGTTGACCCAAGCACTTATTACGATGCATTTCATCGCTTTTCAAAATGTCAATTTTAAAAGTAACAAAACATCCATTCAAAATTGGTAGTCTAATGGAGAAGAAGTTTCTCTTCAATCTAGAGATATACATAAATTGATTAAGCTTTCAAATAGTTTTGCTTGTTATCTTAACTATCATGTCTCCAATGCTCACAATATTTAAGATATTAAATAAATACCATTGCAAATATTGCATGTGCACTAATTTATTATTAGATTTGTGTTTAGAAAATGAGATTTGTGTTTAGAAAATGAAATACTTAAGTCCGATAGACATGCTTTCATTGAATTATTCATACTGAGTTTCAATGCATTCTCAATGTCTTCTAGGATTGTATTCCTCATCTCTTCCTTTGGCTTTTGATCGATGCACTTCCTACATTTTTTTATTGTGTGGTTAGACTTCCCACAATATCAACACACGTTTAGGAGATCTTAATACTTGCTTTTTTAGTAATTTGACTATTGGTTCTTCCTATGAGATTTGATACATCTCTTATATTATTATTGCCCTTATTCTGAAACTAGCTCCTATTGTCAACGTCTAAGAAAAATAACCTTCCTATTTATTCTATCATTTAAAGTCATTTGTAAGGATGAGATCTCAAACAATATTGAGCTTTATAGAATACAACCAACTACTTACAACAATTACAATGTTGTCCTGATCATGGGGAGATAATGGGAGACTATTAAATTGATTTTATTGCCAAACTTGATTTTCACAAAATTCATTTTTTTTGTGATCGATTTGAACTCATTGATGTGATAAATGGACCAAACTCCTTTTTGTCATCAAGAGATTGAAAAATATGTACTACTATACATGTACCATGTTCTATGCAAGGATAGAGATCCTACTTTTTACATGTGACAAGCTAAGAGAGAACACAACCACCCCCTACAAGTATGTGAGATAAATATAGAGAAGTTGGTGCTATTACACTCTTCCCATTATTGCGCGAATTTCTCACAATTATGGTAAAGAATTTCTTCTTTTGATGAAATTCAAAAAAGCAACACCTCATTTCCTTGAAGCAAAAATAAAAGGAAAAAAAAAAACCCCTCTTACAAGCACCTAAAAAAAAAAAAAATCCTCCCTTTGTTCTCTAAATTGGCATCTCCAATATCCTCACCATTTTCTATCTATTGGCTTATGAGTTAGACAAAAAATTTTTACCAAATCAGACAAAATATGACAAGACCACTCAAAATCAACAAAAGATCTCTCAAAGTAATCAAATGATCCTTCAACATCTTTACATTATACTAAAATATTCTCAAAGTCCACAACAATAAATCAATCAAAGATTTGTATTCAAGGAGAAACTTAAATCATTTATTGTAATTTTTTTATCTACAAGAAATTTTGGCTCCACATAATTGAGTAACACAACAGAAAAAACAGGTCAACAGAACATCAAACAAATTTTACAGCAGATGAAGCTAAATTGTTCAATATAACAATTCAATAAAAACTAGCATTCAAATACAATGGTAAGAAAAAATAATTCAGAAAAAAATTTGCTGCCAGTTTGCATAAATTAGAGACATAAGAAGACTGAAAGCCACTGACAAAAAAAGCATTCGGGTGATGCTTAAGAGGCATAGACAATAACTAATTAAAGTTGAGAACAGAGCTCTGCAAGACAATGAAGACCTGTAAAACATGTAAAATTCATATATTTATATACATTTTTTTGCAAGCAACAATGGAGACCATTCAATTAAAATTGGGAAGATTTACATACCTACTACTTAATTCCAATGTATTTACATATCTAACACCTAAACTTCAATTTTTACATATGTGCCAACTTATGTATGCATGAAAAGTTGTATAAGCTCACACTCAGAGAGAGAGAGAGAGAGAGAGAGACTTAAAAATTCTTCCTTTTTCTTGAAGGATTAGAACCATTGACCTTTGCTTTGATGGTCAAACATATAATCCCATAAAACCAGAAGATTGATAATGCTCAAATTCTTCAGTTGAGAAAATGAAGCAAATAGAGGGACAAAAGTGTGCATTAAATTCATACTTCTGTTCTGAGAAGCCATATTCTTCCTCGAACACTAAAGCAAGAGAAAATCTACTAATAAGCATAAAACAAAAGAAAGATTAGAGGAACATACCTCTCCACTAACCTCAAAAGTTTGCCAAAATAGGAAACTTATTCATTTCCTCATTGAAGGCCTGCAAGATATAAGTTTTCCCATCAAACCAGAAACTAAGAAGAAACCAATGGAGTGGAAAGTTCATCAGTTATCCATCATTTTGACACTATATAGCATCTACTTCCTAGCAAAGTATGTTCATTTTCTCCAAGCGATCAGAGAATTGGTTTTTTACCCAGCGCTAAAGACAAATTGCAGGGCCCCATAAGTCAGAAGAATAATGCATCTTCTCCTCAGTAAGAGTAAAAGGCCAAAAGCTATGGTGTGCGTAAGTGGGATTCTCACTGTGCTTCATCAGGGTAGTGGGGTTGCCTTCTTTCTTCGCTGCACAAAGGCTGCAATAGTACAAAAGTATATTGTTTAAAGAATAAAAAAGAAAACAATTTGATGTTATTTTTATCTCAGATGATTGATGAACAGCAAAGTGAAAGATGAAAACTGCATCCATCCCTGGACTAAACATGGAGATCACACAAAAAGTTCGTTTTTTTTTTTTTTACCTTGTTATTCATTCACAGCTTCATGAATAGGGCCGGGGATTGTCACAACGGCATGATTGGGGAAGAACACTGTTCAAATAGGCTCAACAGAACACCGATCATTCATCTCAACAAAAAAAATTTTCTTTTTTCCCCTCAATGATGCAGAGAGGAACCTGAGGCTGGCTCCTTTGAATTATGGGATAAACAGAGGCAAACCATCAACTAAATCCTCGCGAAAAAGCTACCAGAAGGTTTATTTCCATTTTTGGGACAAAAACCCATAAAAAAGAAAAGAGGAGCAGATGCAGAACAGGGAAATGGAATGGCATTTAAAGGAATGGGTCAGGGTAACTTTAACAGAGGATGTACATCACCTATCAATCAAGTGCAAGCAATCGAGATAATGAAAATAGAAAGATTTAAGAAACAAAAGAAGAGGACGCTGGTAATAAAGGAGTAAGAAGGCATGAAGACGAGAATTCTGAATTAAGCTCAAATGAAAGGTTAAAACAATTGTAGGTAGAGGAAAACAGAGCTGAGAAGAAGGCCGATTAGGTTTGATGCAGGGGGGCCCATTCCTCCCCTTCATCTCCTTCCCACCTCTCGTTCTCTCAGCAATGATCATCACAGACAAAATATCTGAAATCTCTGTGCAATTTCCTGTTCTTGGCAGCTGTTATCAGGGTAATCTGCTTTTCCTCCACAAGAAAAAAAAAAGTAAATTTCTTCGTCGTAGAAAGACAAGGAGAGCAGAGGAGAGAGAAAGATGGCTACTTTTTTACACGGTGCAGGGAAACGCCATAAGGGGGAAGGAAGAAGAGGACGGAATGATGTCAGCAAAATCTACTGGAGAGATCTAGCACAGATTTTAATGGGGTCGGTAAAAAATGATCCATTTTTCAACTTGGTGGCGAGGAAGAGAAGATGGAGGGGGGATTTGTGGTTGGTGAGAAGCCTGGTTCGCATTGAAGGCGAGCATGTGGGCTTACAGAGGAGAGAGAGGAGAAAAGAGGGGAGTTATGGGAAAAGGTGAAAAAAGCTGACTCTCTCTGCTACTCTGCTCTGCTCTGCTCTGCACTACAGTTTGTTTTTTCTCTTCTGCTTTTCTTTTCTCTTCTTCATTTCATCTTCTGTTTAGAATTCAGAAGAGCACAGAAGTTCTTGAGCTGCATGCGTGTGTAGGTAGCTCGTGGACTGGTAGTGGGGAAGGGATGGGGATTGAGGGATTTGCTCCCGTCTGAAGCGGAAGTCCATGTCCCCCTGTCTACATAATTGAATGCAGGTATTTACAGTAGCAGAAGGAAAGAAAATATCCAATGTAATTTTTCATCCAGCAATGAGTTTTACCTCTAGAAATATAAGAGTGTTATGTTACATCAGAGTAATGAGATTTCATTGATGGGAAAAGATTTCTTTTTTATATCCTCTTCTTGGAGAAAATGAGGGCTACTATGAAATTGAACTTCAAAAACTTTCTGTTTTCATATTAGCTCAAGGAAATTGGAAGCTAGTGAAACTCCCAAAAACAAAATAATCATTCCTCTCTTCCAACAAAATCCAACCATATAAGTCAAATGCTGAAGAAATGTCTTCCAACATGTTGCTGGCTCTCAAAATAGAGAGATTAAAGATATACAAAAAACAACATATAATAAAGAACACTCCTATGTCTTCACATTGGAGTAATGAAGTCTAATGGTTTATGAAACGAAAGCCTTTTAATAAAAATAAACCCATGTCTTCACATTGGAGAACTTAGCTCAAACTCTTGTACTCCTAGAAAAGTTATGACCTTTAATGCAATAAGAGTTGCCTCTCGCTGACATAATTCTCTTGATATCAAGCTGACGAGCTTCCAAATTCATCTACCGAGCTGTCGAGTTCAGTTACATGAAATGACATAATATAAAGCTACTTGAAATGACATAAAACCATTTTTGTCATGACACAATGCTCCTCTTATTCACATAGATTTCTCTTCTCTCCCTCTTATACATTGCTGGAAGGAGTTTAGGCATGAACCATCGACATTACGGGACCGTACGTTCTAAACGGATTCAACACATACCTTCTTATTTATACATTAAAAGATGCATTTTATTAATTTAATATTTAAAATAATGTTATTTTTGATGTGATATAAAAAACTTTAATATTATAAACATTGTTGAAAATTCTTGTCCCACCGAACACCAAGAGATAATTCCAAAGAACTCGTGCAACTGAAATTCTTTTGATCACCAAGAACACCAAGAACTTGCAATGCTTTAAAGAACTGGACAACCTTTCAATTTTTGTAGCTGGTTGTAGCCAAAGATGAAGGAAAGACAAACAGTGCAAGCAAGAAAACGGAAAATTGCAGGGAACTAAACAAACACAAGAAAACAATAGACACCAACTAATTACGTGGTTCGGTTAATAGACCTACATCCACAGGAGGGAATCAAAAATCAAATCACTAAGACAATAAAGAAGAATTACAAGGCTTCTTTTTACATTGAGGAATAAGCAATCCTCTTGATCTCTCTCTCCCTCGAAACTACATTGATACAAGATCTCAAGACCCCTCAATTCCTGAAGCCTCCTCTCTTCTTCTTCTTCTTCTTGGAATGATTCTTTTCCTCTTCCTTGTGATTCATACCCCTCTCTACAAGCCTCCCTCATCTATTTATAACAGGATGAGGCCTCCCAAGTAGACCCGGTTCACCCTAGAAGCTTCTAGGAAAATCACAAGTTTGTCATTGCCCTAATTAACCAATTGAGAGTCATATAAGAAAAACATAAAAAGTAAAATTTAGGTGTTAAATATGTAAATATATAGGAATATTATTTTAGCTCTCTAACACTGCTAATGACCATTCTCTACTCTCTTTCATTGGGGTTATATTGTAAATGTCTCTATAAGCTCTATTTTGTAGACTATTTTGCATTGAGTTCACTCTTTGTTATTCACTACACGTATACATCTAAATATTCAAATCGCACCTATGGTGACGTTTGGGGGTTCGAACCGTGTTTTTCAGAAAAAGCATAAGTTAAGAAATCCTTTTTGCGAGCATGAATGCCATACCATAACTCGTGGTATTAATAAGTTGATAAATAGAATGAAAAATTAGGAAACAAATACTAAAAAGATATTATTTTCTTATCACTTTTATTACCTTAAGAATTTTCTTAAAAATTTAATATATTTTGAGTATATTTTATATTAATATTTTTTAAAATGAGAAGACGAGTTGGGGCTAACTTAAGTTTGGCTTGCCAGCATGTAAATACATTAGATCAAGTGCTATGTATGCAAATGCCCCCCAAATAAATAAAGCTATTTGGACATGCGGAAAGCCAAGTCATATTTCAGCTTCTCATCAACCATGATATAAGCGCAGTGATTCATTCTTCTTCGCTGATGTTAAGCCTTCAATGGGTTTGATATTCTCAGTCTCCCATTTTTGTTCTATTTAAATTCATTTTGAAAACACATTCTGATGTATGTAAATAAAAATATTTGTAATATTTATTTCAGAAAACCCTACAGACCTGTGTCTCACAACCGCAACTTTCTGTGATTATGTTTTTATTTTACTTTTTACATTTTGCACCCATTAAATTGTTTTTAAGTATTGTTAAGTATTGCTCATATACTAGAATTTGGAGTCTCTTGGAGTGCAGAGATGTGTCTCTTGGTTGAAGAGGTGTGTCTCCTGAACTTAAAAGAAGTGTCTCTTGGAATTTAGTGGGTTGGGGGGAGCGAGGGCGTGTTAGTAATTTATCTATGGGTTTTTTACTCGTGTATATATATAGTGTGTGTGTGTGTGTAACCCTATGTGTATGTAATTGGACTCCTCTGAAATATTGAAATTCGTCGATTTGCTCTCAAGAACGTAGGCATCTTTGTCAAACTTCGTGAAATCTCTGTGTATTCTTTTGGATTTATGTCGATTTCTATTTTTCTTCGCCCTAATTTATCAACAATTGGTATCAGAAAAAGTTTTTGGGTCAGGGAATAAAATTTTGGCAGCACTGGAAGTAAGAAGAAAAATTTTGGGGATTTGGCAGGAGAAGTTCGGGCGGTTTTCAACAGGCTTCGGGGACTTCCGTGAAGGTCTTTCGGTTTGCGGGAATTCGCAGGGAGGGATCGCGACCAAGACTCGCGACCTTGTTCCAGTCGAATCACGACATATTCGACAAAGAAGGTTTCACGACAAGGAGAAGGATTCAGCGGCTTGGATTGCGACACAGGAGACTTCACACGCGCGACAGGATTGCAGGCGAGAGGATTTGCGGCGAGCGGAGGATCGCGACGGGAGTCCGTGACATTTCGTGAATTCACAAACATAACATTTTGCGGAGGTTCGCGACTTCGACGAGGAGCAGTTCCCGCGATCGAGTAAGTTTCGGGGAGGCAAATCTCGACAGGAGGTGTTCGCGAAGGGCCTTAGTGTTCTGAGAGAGGAGTTCGACACTTCCAACACAAATTCGAGCGGGATCCGGAGTTCGCGGAGAAGTTTGTGAACCGTGGCTTGCGGGATAGAGAAGTTCGCAAAGGAGCGGTTTGCAAGCAGTGCGGCAAAAAGTTTTGAGGCGGTTTAGCGACATTTCAGTTTCACAGAGGAGAGGAGTTCAGTGGTGTTCGGCTAGCGGAGTTCACAAGTTTGTCACAGGAGGATTTGCGATAGGTACAGTTCGGTTGAGGAGTTCACACGAACAGGAAAGGGCTTCGGGCAAAGAGTTTGCAGTAGTTCGACAGAATTCTTTTTTTGTGCGAACAGGAAAAGTGCTTCGTGTGAAAAATTTGATTCACGAATCACAGCAGAATTGCAGAAAAACTGCTGCAATTGACAGAAAAATTTTAGCTTTTTTTTTGAATTTATTTGCAGTGTGTTTTTGTTTCGACGCAAGTCAAAAAAAGTTTACTGCATGATTAATTTCAAATAACAATGTTGTTGTGAAATTTAGGGCGAAGAAAACATAGAATCGACACAAAGCCAAAAGAACGCAAAGATTTAACGAGGTTCGACAAAGATGCCTACATTCTTGGGAGCAGAACGACGAATTCACTATTTCAGAGGAGTTACATACCCATAGGGTTACACATCTATTTATAGATAAAAACCACAAATAAATTTACAAACACACCCTCGCTCCCTCCAACCCACTAATTCAAGAGACATACATCTTCACACTAAGTGACTCACCTTTTCAAATCCAAGAGACTCCAAATTCCTATTTTATGAGTCATGCCTAACAATTCTCCACCTTGGCGAATATCTAGCTTCTTAGGAGAAAATCTCCACCTTGCGAATATTCAGCCCCTTAGAAGAAAAAAGTCATGGAGTTTCTTACTCCAAAGTGGGTTGGGCAATCATGCCAATAAACAACTGCAAACATTCAACAAGTTTAAGTAACGCAAGAACTTGTTGAAAATACATGGTTTGATCAACTTTTCTGTTGCATTTTCATGATATGATCCGACGGAGTGAACTCCACCTACAACTGTACTTTTCACAGTTTATAGATAATACCATCATGTTTCATAGCTCGTGATGCTTTCCAAATTACTTGTTGTGCCAACAAATCTTTCAACCTTGTTTGTCACAATATGAAATTCTCTGTTTCATCGAACTTCATTATCTTGAATTTTGCACCATACATTGTCATTTAAAATTAATCCTGCAATTAACTTTTCCTGCCTTGTATTGAAACAAAACACACCACAAATGAATTCAAATAAACCTGAAATTTCCTCTGTCAATTGCAACAATTTTCTCACAGTTTCCTGTGATTTGTGAATCAAAATTTTCACACGAATCACTTTTCCTATTCGCATAAAATTCAGCTGAAATACTGCGGACACCAGCCAAACTCCACTTGTCACAATTTCTTCTACGACAAACCTGCGAACAATCCGTGAAATTCGTGAATTGCACCTATCACTACTCCTCCTGCGATAAACTTGGGAACTCCGCTGACCGAGCACTGCCTGTTGCAATTATACCTGCCGCAACTCCTCCTGCGACAAACTTGCGAACTCCGCTCGCTAAGCACAACCTGTCGCAACTCCTCCTGCGAGGCCACAACAAACTTGCGAACTCCACTGGTCGAGCACCATTTGTCGCAATTGCACCCGCTGCAACTCAACATTCGACAAACTTGTGAACTCCGCTAACCGAGCACCACCTGTCGCAACTGCACCTACCGCAACTCTACATACGACAAACTTGTGAACTCCGTTGGTCGAGCATCTCCTATCGCAACTGTACTTGCAACAACTCTACATGAGACAAACTTGCAAACTCTGCTGGCCTAACTCCTTTGTTCCTCTGTTCATAAAACGAG